CACATTTCACCTCATTTCACCTACCTTAGAAAAGATGGAAGGCTGAGTCAACCTTGAGCCTTGGAGAGATTCGAACCAGCAGTAATTGCAGGCAGCTGTGTTAATAACAGGGTGCTTAGACCACTGTACCATCAAGGCAAATTTGCATATGGAATAAAAGCAATAAGGTTAAAGTAACTAAAAAGATGATAAAAGACTTTAGAAAAGAAAGTATGAGCTTAGTGTTAAAAAAGAATCTCCCAAAAGTGAAAAGAAAAATATTACAGTGAGCCGCATAAGCATATGAGCGTATTGTAATGGGAAATAGGAAAAAAATGCTTGATGGAATGATAATGAAGAAGCAGCTGTGGATGAGGAAAACAGAAAATAAGAATTATTGCTGCAAAAAAATGAGAGAAATATATAATACGGACGGAGGCAAAGTTGCAAAAATGTAGCTAAAGTGAGCAAAGAAGGGTTAAAATTAAGGAAAGGAAGAAAATGCAGAATGATTTAAATAGAAATAATTGTTTTGAAAATAATGAGAGCTGAAAAAGAAGATTCCATAAGAGCAAATGGAATTAAAAATGATGAAATAATTTGGAATATGTCCTAGATTACTCCTAAACCATTGCAACAATTCTCTCTCTTGGAATTCAGATTCACACTGGAGTTTTCACAGGGAAAAAAGAACACAACTGGCTTTATTGCTGTCATAAGTAATTATTGTAGCAACAAAGATCTACTTCTACAGACTTTTAAAGAATGAAATCTCAATCCTAAGCAATTTTTTAGTGCTTTAAGAATACTGTAAGACATTTTTGCTGTGCGTTTGTCTATACTCTGCTTACATAAATGACTTATTTGTCCTCAAGTTTCTTGTTGCACACTTTGACAGCTCTGATTTTCAGAGGAAGAACCAGAAGTGAGGAAATGCTTGAAGTATTTTAGACAACTTCATGGGAATGAATCTGATACTGTATGTAGAAGAGGGGAATTGAAACAAGTACTCTAAATGTTAGTGTCCAAGAAAAATGAAATGAAGGTATAAATGTCTAAAAAGTTTAAAAATGGTAAGGCTGCAGGTACAGATGATATGGCTGGAGAAACATTAAAAGATGTATGTGGTTTACTTAGGGAGTGGCAGTGTGATTTATCAACACAGCTGAAGAATGCATGTGTACCTAATGATTGGAAAATGATACTTTTGCTTCCCAATACAGAGGGAAATAATTTTTTAAAAGAGGGGAGTCCGGTTGTGAAATGTGCCTGGGGAGATGTTTGGTGTAATTTTGAGATAAATTATACAACAGGTATAAGTGAAATTTGAAAGATAGAACGAGGCTTTCTGCTAAACAGAACTAGCACAGAAAATCTGATGTCCATCCTATTAAATACATTTTTGACAAGTATAATATATACAGTACATGTATCTTTTTTATGAATCGGTTTTAAATTCAGATCTGTTAATACCATTTTAACATTTTTAAGGTCATGAATCCATTGTAAGTTAGGACTTTATTGGAGATTCTAGTACTTTGGAACTTCCATGGAATTTTCATGTTTGAAATGGCATAGAAAACATTCTTTAACTTTTCATAGAAATATGTACAGTTTTTAACTCTGTTATGGATTCTATCAAGTGAGTGAGCATTTTTTAAAAATGTTTGCAGGGTGGGTAGGCACTTTTTCACACTTCAGGATAGGTTTAAGAATACTAGTTTTTTTATTTTTTTATTTTTTATTTTATTATTTTATTTATTTTTTTAAATAATTTTATGAAAACTAAGAAAGAAACAATACAAAAATATGTATAAAAAGAAAAAGTGTGGGGAAAAAAATAAAAAAATCCAACCCTCCCAAAAAAAGATAGTAAGAAAAAGAAACGTCTTTTCATCCCTAGCAAGTATATTCAATATTAACAATTTTATCATTGTCTTAAATTACAATAAGTATCATCTTCATTCCCTACTTCACTCCACTCTATAAATTCATCTCTAAATCTTCTCTTCACTCATCAACCAAGGTCCAATAAAAATTAACAAAAATACCCAATAACATAAGTATTTAATCTCTCTTTCCATTTAATCTAAATTCCCCTCATCCCTCTCTTAGCAATTAAACTGAAATGATAATGAAATTGAAAGTTGCTAAACATTACCAGAAGCAATAGACACCTATTTAGATATCAAAAATGATAATATAAATATTATAAATTCCTTGCACCATTTTCAAAAGAGAAACTATCCAATCCAGATAAATATTAAACACCAAAGATAACTTTAAATACAGTCAAATAAACCAGTTCTGGGATTATTTTCCTTCTTTTCAGCAATGTTGCATAAATAAAATTCTAAGTCTTATTTTTTCATGAAGTTCTTTTCATCTTTATCCTAGTCCATTTGTAATTTCCATGAAGTAACTCCAGTAAATCTCTTATATTTCAGTTTAAAAGGATATATTATTTGGGTACATTATTTGTATGCCTTTTTTGTTTTTTATCATCCAATTCCACTGGTAAATCCAGCATTTCTATTTCTTACTTGCTAGTTATAATTTTTAAATCCATCTTAAAGTCCATTTCGGTTGTCTTCAAAGGAGTTTGTTCATCTTCCGTAACAAGTTTTAGCTGTAGTAAAGATTTAAAAAGCTCAAGCACTTCACACACCCACAGATCTAAGTTTTCCTTTAAAGTAGCCATCATGTGCTTTAGTAATCAATCTTAAAAGTTTTGTTTTGCATTGAAAAGTAAACAACATAGATTTTTCTCACATGAGAGAATCTTTCTAATTAGTTTCAAAGTCTTTCTCTAAAGCAGACACCCAGCAATTTGTAGGCTCGCAGTTCCAAAGGTTTTTCCATCTTAAAGAGACAGTACAAAAAATAAACTTCAAAGTTATTAAAAAGATGAGGTTTGGTCAAACCTTGAATCCATGAAAAGTTTCATTTATGGCTAGAGCATGATTGAACCCGTGACCTTCAGCTGATTGGAAGAAGCTGCAAAAATGTCAATTTCTGCAATCTATTCACAAAAATCACTTGTAGGAGAATACATATGGACTGTCTCTAGACTTGTCTTTGTTCTGGAGATGTCTAACTGCCTTCTCTGCCATAATTTCCCTGTAATCTGTGTGGAGTGGGAGAAAAATGTTTATGTTATGTTATGCCTCATCTGATGTCTGAATTCTGGTTGTCTTTTTTAGTGAAAATATTTACAGTCCGTGCAATAAAACATCATCTGGAATGTGTTTGAGTTGAAGATGAATTACCTTAAACTTTGATTCTTGGCTTATTTATACAGGGACACGGATGCCAGATTACTTTTAAGGAATAAATGAAATGAGTGTTCAAAAAATAACTCTTAGGACTTTCAGAAGCACTGAAAATTATTGAAACTGACTGTCTGAAAAGATGTTAGGTAGCAATATTGATTCCTTAGTAAACTTTTATATTTCTTTTGAAATATGGCCATGGAAACAGGCAGATAAATAAGTTTTTGTTCAGAATTAGCCAGAGAAATCTTTTTTGGAAAGAACAAATGTAATACAAGGAAAGTTGTTCTGTTTGCAGTAGTGCAGAAAGAAGAAGAAAAGCGATAATTGAAGAAAAAATTTGATGATGTGGTTCTCTTAGTAAATTGAGAACAATGACCCTTGAAGGACCATAAAGAAAGTGAATGTCAAGCTAATTTATTATTGTTACATTATCTGTCCTAACTTTAAACTTGTCTTACTGAGTTATTAAATCCTAGCCTGATACCAAATGCACCAAATGTTAATGACTATCTGAATAAATCCAACACAGTCAACATTGCATTGTTTTGTCTTCTGTCTTATCTATAATGTTTCACCTATAATATCTCACCTATATGTCGTCCTAATATCAGTTTACTTAGAATATAGCATCTTTTATACAGGACACTGCTTCTCCCTTCCTTATAAAAGGTCTCTTCCTCCATGTTTTTGAAACAAGTGGGCAAAAGATGTTCAGCATCTTGTTAATCACTACACTTATGAAATCTTACAATTAGGTCATAGAAGCAGTTGCTCTTTTAAAAGTTATTCTGGGGTTCTTTTCTGTATCTCTGATCTGTTTAACAATGTCTCTTCTAGCCTGAAGAGTAGTTATTAATTTTTTTATTATTATTATTAGTTTTGATTTATATGCCGCCCTTCTCCAGAGACTCAGGGCGGCTTACAAGGCATTAAGCAATAGCTTTCATACTTTTGTATATTTTATACAAAGTCAGCTTATTGCCCCCACAAACCGGGTCCTCATTTTACCTACCTTAGAAATGATGGAAGGCTGAGTCAACCTTGAGCCTGGTGAGAATTGAACTCGCAGTAATTGCAGGCAGCTGGAAGCTAAATACTACCTTTAACAGTAGCATTAGTCTGCTGCGCCACTCATGCTCCTAAATTAGTTATTAATACCATCCTTTATACATTATGAATTTGTTTTATCTCTTTCACAGTCATCTGTGTTATTGGCATCAAATTCCAAAATTTAACAATATGCTGTGTGAAGTATTCCATGGTTTGAGTGTTCCATTATTGGATGATTCTTAAATTCTAATATCTTGAGGATGGGGAAAATCATTGTCTGTATATCCCATTTTTCCATACAAACAAGCCACCTTCTAAAAGTGCAAAGGTGCAAATCTTTCCTTTTAGCATGAGTTTCCAGCTTCCTAATTTTTTCTTGTATTTTTTTCCCCAGCTCTACAGTATCCTTGCTAGAGAATTATACCAAGTATTTCAAGGGTAGTTACATTCAATGTTTGCTGTTTGCTGTGCAATGTTTGCTGTTTGCTGTTGCAATGTTTGCTGTTTTATTTCTTTTTCTTAGTATTTAAAGTGGGGGCTTGAGTGGAAGTTCAATCATTTAAGAATCCACAATTTGAATTCTTTGAAGTATATTAGTAAACAAATGCTTTTTGTTCAACTTTTGTAAATAATTATGACAGAATTAATTCTAGTCACAGGAAACTAACTGCTCTATTTGTTATTTTTGTCCTCCAGGAGAGCTAGTTTTTATGCGTGTCGGCTTGATAAGAACTTGTATGTGATTGGAGGGAGAAATGAAACTGGCTACTTGTCAAGTGTGGAATGTTATAATTTAGAGACAAATGAGTGGCGTTATGTATCTTCCCTACCACAGCCTTTGGCAGCACATGCAGGAGCTGTACATAATGGAAAAATCTATATTTCAGGTAAGCTGTTTCCTGGGTTCCATTTGATTGATTTGGAAATTTGGTTGGGCCCAAATTTTATTTTAAAAACTGTAACTAATAGAGGTATATTTGATTTATAGGTGGTGTCCATAATGGTGAATATGTCCCCTGGCTCTATTGCTATGACCCTATAATGGATGTCTGGGCTAGAAAACAAGATATGAACACAAAAAGAGCTATCCACACGCTGGCCGTAATGAATGACCGACTGTATGCAATTGGAGGAAATCATTTGAAAGGTCACTTTTTAAATAGCAAAATACTGTACTTTTCTGATTTATGATCGAAATTTTTTTTTCTCTGTTATCATAGTTAAAAACCTGCCACAGACTTTAGTATCATGCCTCAGTAACATTTTGACGAAAGAAAAATTTATAACACCAGATTAAATAAATGAGTAATGAATGCTTTAGATAATAAAAAAGAGAATTTTCATTACTCAGAATCATGGATGATTTGTCATCCCTATGAATTCATTGTAACAAACAGATTATTATTAACCCAAATTCCCTGCAATATTTGCCTCTGTAAATTATTTGCCATCATAAGAAGTTATACCAGAGTTTCAAGGAGAAAGTGTTCCTAGATTTCATGAAGAAACTGTAAATATTAAGCTGCAAAACATTTACCTGGGAACTTCTGAATTGGCATAAATATAATTGATTTAAATTTCTTTTTTATTCTTATTAACATTTTATTAATGCTAAAAGCATGTATTACGTCTTTGTATCCATATTGCAAAAATATTCTGCTACAATATTGGACAAGTACTCTACAGTATATCTAAAATAATTTCGTCTGTGGCATTGTGCCCAGAGAAATCAGAATTACTTTTAATCTTTCCCCCCAAATCTCGCTCCCATTAATTTAGGGAAAGCACCATTATGGACCCAGTAACCATCAATTCCTGATTTTTTTTTATTATTTAAAACAGAAGATATAACTTGCAACCTCAAGTTATTGAGAAATTCTTTCTCAATAAAAATTCTTGATTATACTCTCTGGAACTGTTCCAGAAGTTCCCAGCAACTTGTCATTTAATGTGATAGAAGATAGAACTTATTGAAAAGACAAAGAATAGCAACAGTAATTAATTAAATTGAAGTTTAAATTAAAGCCAATCATGTTCTGCTTTTTTGGCTTGGCTTTTCTCGCTGTTTAGAATACTACTCCTGAGATGTGTAGCTTTTGACAGAAAAAAAATCTATTATTAAGTGCATTTAAATGAAAGGGTCATTGGGTTTAATTTTTGTAAAGTCAATCCAAATTTTATTATGTTTTTTAAAAGAATTTCTAATTTTGGTTTACTTTGGTTTTATTCACAGCTCTCCATTTCATTTAATGCACTACTAAACTTTGTTAAAAGGATTGCATTTATATTATTCTCATTTGGAAAAATGAAATGTATGGGAGGGTACAGTTATCTAAAAGAAGATATTTCTTTTCAATCAGTGTGATGGGTTTTCACTGAAGAATTTAGGACTATAGCACATACATACAGTGATTATATATGTTAGACTTTATGCTAACATATTTTCCTCATGTTACTGTTCTGAACCAATGTTTTCATAGGTAGTCCTTAGGTTATAGCCATTAGTTTAATGTCTGTTCAAAGTTATAATGGCATTGAAAAATGTGATGACCAGTACTCACCCTTATGATCACTGCAGCATCCCCATGTGGCCTGATCAAAGTTTGGGCAATTGAAACCTCATGTACAGGTAGTCCTCGACTTATGACTACAATTGAGCCCAACATTTCTGTTGCTAAATGAGACATTTGTTAAGTGAGTTTTGCCCCATTGTATAACCTTTCTTGCCACGGTTGTTAAGTGAATCACTGCACTTGATAGCTGGTAACATGGTTGTTAAGTGAATTTGGCTTCCCCATTGACTTTGCTTGTCAGAAAGTTAACAAAAGTTTTAAAAGATGATCACATGATACTGGGAAACTGCAACTGTCACATGAGTCAGTTGCCAGGCATCTGAATTTTGATCATATGTAGCATGGGATGCTACAATGGTCATAACTGTGAAAAACAGTCATAAGTCACTTGTTTCAGTGACGATACAATTTCGAATGGTCACTAAATGAACAGTTGCAACTTAAGGACTGCCTGTATTTTACAGTGGTTGCAACATCCCGGGATCATGTGATTGCCATTTGTGACCTTTCCGGCTAGCTTCTGACAAGCAAAGTCAATGGCGGAAATTGGATTCACTTAATAACTGTTGTGATTCATTTTACAACCATGGCAAAAATGGTGGTAAAATCAGGCATGACTCACTTAACAACCGTATTGCTTAGCAATGGAAATTCTGGTCCCAAGTTGATAACTACCTATACAGAGATCTTAGGGATCTTTGGAATTTTACAATTCCTTGCAAATGACATTGCAACATACTATATTTGTATGTACACATTAGTATTGCTTGTTTGTTTGATTTGCCTGGCAACATTTTTCTTTTCCTCCGTTTTCAAAACCACAAAATACAAGAAGAGATTACATATCTCGTACAAAGCAAACTGTAAACAATATTGTCAAAGATAGAATTTACAAGAAATTCCTCAGTGCAAACTCTATGAAATGAAAAAAAAGCTTTAGTATAAATACTCCTAATCCCTTTAAACCATGAAATCAAAATCTCAATATATTATAGGAGTAAAAAAATCTTCCATCTTACAGTATTTTTCGGAGTATAAGACACATCAGAGTATAAAACACACCTTAGTTTTTGGGGAGGAAAATAAGAAAAAAGCTGATTGGCAGGTGGATTGGCCTCCCGGAATACCCCCAATCAGCTGTTCCCAGAAGTGAATTTTAGCATCAGGTTCCTTGGTTGTGAGCTCTGTGCCTTGCTCTTTGTTTTGCTTTTTTTTTTTTTTCTTTTTTTTCTGCCTCTGAAACTTCTGAAACTGTTTCAGAAAAAACTTTTTTTTCTGCCTCTGAAAGCTTCCAAAACAGAGCTTCCGAAAAAAAAGCCTTTGAAGCTCAGTTTGGAGGCTTTTTTTCGGAAGCTCTGCTTGGAGGCTTCTTTTCCAAAGCTTCGTTTCTGATGCTTTTTTCAGCCTCTGAAACCTCCGTATGAGAAGCTGGGCAGGGCTACACTCGAAGTATAAGACGCACCCAGATTTTCACCGTCTTTTTTGGGGGGAAAGGTGTGTGTTATACTCCGAAAAATATGGTACATGTTATTAACAGCCCTAGCTATTGTAGTTGTTAGAGGTCTGTCATGACTGCATCTCACCTATCCAAGCTTCATGAGCTGACTGCCCCTGGGGGGCAGCAGGGGTGAAATCTTGGAATGTAAGGAAGAAGGGGAGGATGGAAACCCACGTAAGGCTTGTGAGAAGCTACAGCCAGCCAAGATCACCTAATGATATGCAGGGCTGGGAACCAGCACCGGTTTTCTAAACAATATACAAGCACCTGATTGGACATTTGCAGAAAACCGAGAGATGATGGGGGGACAACTTTCCTTTGTGTTGTTTGCATGGGAAAACCTCAGATTCAGCTTATGCTACTTATGTAACCATGTAAGCTTCAGTAAAGTATACTCTTGGCAAAGCAAATGGCCAGGAGTCTTTCTTTGCACTAAATGACTGAGTGGTACGGTTGACAAAGTCACTATATGTTTTCTATTAAGAATAATGGCCAATAATTAAGAAGTTGAATTTCAGTAAAATATCCTATGATGATGTTAGCTGAATTTGGGAGGAAAATCAAAGGAAATTTTTGCAATGTTTTATCTTAACAGGCTCATTCCTCTTATTTCTAACAAATTATAAAAGCTGTCCTTTGATGCTGCTGACAAATTATTTTTTTAATGGTGACCATAGTCATTATTTCAAATAAGTGGATTCAAATTATTTTATGAATGTGTGATACAGGTTTCTCTCACCTTGATGTCATGCTTGTGGAATGTTATGACCCAAAGGGAGACCAATGGAATATTTTGCAAACTCCTATTTTAGAGGGTCGAAGTGGTCCTGGATGTGCAGTTCTTGATGACAGCATATACCTTGTTGGAGGCTACAGCTGGAGTATGGTATGCATTAATTTGAACATGAAGTCTTAACTAGGTCATCTGGTTATAATTTTATAGCATGCTGTTTGTTTATTTAAGCAATTGTTTACCGCCACCTATTTTGTGGCAGTGACTGAGCACAGAGAATTATAAACAAGACAATATTAAAAGAAAAAAAGGTCACTCCATCCTAAGTAATAGTGCAAGTGAGAATAGCAGTAGCAGTACCAGCAGTAGTAATAATAACAGTAATAATAACAGAAAACAGCATACATCTGGGCCCCAAACATTCCATTTTCAATCAATATATACCAAAATAAACTAATCCACCCCCACTCACTGACCTTTTCAGCATTTTGATCCAACTATTTGAGAAAACATTCAGGTCTACAGTACCTTGCCAAGGGTCAGGTACTAGGGGTGAAATCCAGGAAGTTCTGATAGGTTCTGAAGAACTAGTAGCGGAAATTTTGAGCAGTTCGGAGAACCAGTAGTGGACATTTTGAGTAGTTTGGAGAATTGGCAAATACCACCTCTGGCTGGCCCCAGAGAGGGGTAGGAATGGAGATTTTGCAATATCCTTTCCCTGGAGTGGGGTGGAAATAGATATTTTGCAGTATCCTTCCCCTGGAGTGGGGTGGGAATGGAGATTTTGCAGTATCCTTCCCCTGCCATGCCCAAGCCACACCCACCAAGCCACACCACACCCACCAAGCCACGGCCACAGAACTGGTAGTAAAAAAAATTGGATTTCACCTCTGGTCAGGACCACCCAGATTTCTAAAGGGATACTGCTTCATAGAGCCAGTGCTGTAAAACAATCCCAGGTCCCACAAGATGACATTTTCTAATAGAAGAGACCAAGTTTATGCCAACCTTCTGGTACTGAAATGTCAAAAAATAGATAATTCTGCAAATAACCTGGCTGCATGCCATGTAGAGTTTTTTAGGCGACATCTAGCATCTTGAATTTAACTGGAAACTCACTGGGAACTAATGCAGTTCATATTAGACAAATCTCACTAGAGGAGCCAGGAGAAAAGTGTCTCTTCCATAAAAAATATGGTGAGATGTAAACTACAAAAACACATGTCAGTTCAGTCATTGCCCAGTTCAGTGTGGATCACGCTACGTGTTGTTGTTCTTGGATGAAAATGGGCTACAGGACTCTTGGCTGAGCAATCAGGGTCAGCAGCTACAGAACTACTGGAAGAAAAGGCGTACCCATTTCAAATATAAAGTGATTGAAAATAAAGAAATAATCTGTTATTACAGATCAAGTCCAACAGGAAGTGGATATTTGAAATGCATGCACCAGTTTTGGAAAAAATAACATACAGAATCAGAAATAACAGAACAAAGGTTATAGCAGATCACTGTCAATTTATAATACAAAGTAGCCACAGAAGCATAATTGGAAGAATTGCAAAGGTCTTCCCAGAGCAAAGAAATCAAAGCCTTGCCAGAAGTAACTAAAGATTGTAGAGGTAAACCAGGGGAAGTTGTCAGTAGATGAAGGCAGCACAGCTATTGAATTGTTTTCATTCCAGAACCAGGCAATTTCTCCTCTGCCTCAGAAAGAACAAAGCTCTCTAACCAAAGAAGTAGAAGAATCGAAACAAAGAATAACTAAGCATCTAAAATAGCACAAAAACAATAAAATAAGGTTGCCTGCATTGAAGCTTGTTCCAAAGAAACAGCTAGTACAAGCATTAAAAGATACCAGTACTGTAATATCAAATATAAGCACCAACTCACTGCAAAAAACAAGCTAATTAATTTACTCCATTATGGTCACAAGTCCTCCAAGACATTTGTTTAGTCATAAAGCTTTCAGTCATCCCATGATATATGTGCAAAATATGTAAGCTGTGCTAGAGTTTCTTTAATTACTGCATTGGCGTATTAATTCTTTGTTCCCAAGAAGCATTTTTGCAAGTTTCTTAAATCAAGCAGTAGTATTCTTTTGTGTCTAGAAAATACATTACATCTATCCTGTTATCCAAAAGGTATCTTATTAATTTCAAACCCCATTGTCAAAGGGAGTATTAGGAATTGTTTTTTGGGAGTATCTAGCAAGATAGCAACAACCTGTCTGACCACTGCTGACCTCAAGGAGGTACAGCATCGGTCCCTGACTCCTGCCATTTTCCCGTGGACTTCCCATAAAGAAAAGGTAGTGATATTAATTGGATTATTTTTCCCAATCACTATTATAATCAGATTCTTATTACTTTTTACACTGTTCACTCTCAATCCTAAAATTTCACTGCTGTTTTTAAAAATAAGATCTTATAGCAATAGTACTCAGATTTATATACTGCTCCATAGTGGGCAGCATATACAGCACTCTCTGGGCAGTTGACCATGTCAGCATATTTCCTCCAACAATCTTGATCCTTGTTTTACTGACCTCAAAAGATGGAAGGCTGAGTCAACCTAATGGCTGAAAGCCTTATGTCTGAAAGGCTGAGCTAGCGTAATGTGTGAGTCAGCCTGACATCTGAAAGCAGATAGCTTGTATGACATTCTTAATATTCTTAATATTAATTAAGATTAATATTATTAATAATAATATTAAGGATTAATACATTAATACATTCTTGAATAGCAACAGCACTTAGACTTATATACCACTTCACAATGCTTTACAGCCCTTTCTAAGCGATTTACAGAGTCAGCATATTTCTCCCAACAATCTGGATCCTCATTTTATTGACCTTGGAAGGATGGAAGGCTGAGTCAACCTTGAGCTTGTGAGATTCGAAGTGCCAAATTGCAGGCAGCTGGCAGTCAGCAGAAGTAGCCCACAGTACTGCATTCTAACCACTGCGCCATCACGGCTCTTAATATGAATCATGTTACAGTTATCTACATTTTGAATTGATATTTTTCAGCTAATTAAACAAGCCTCTATATTGCATTACAGGGAGCCTACAAATCTTCTACTATTTGTTATAGTCCTGAGAAAGGATCCTGGACAGAGCTCGAAGGAGATGTAGCTGAGCCACTTGCGGGTCCCGCTTGCTCTACTGTCATACTTCCTGCGTGTGTGCCGTACAACAAATAAGTCCTGGAAATGCAAAAGAGGACATTGATGCATTCAGGAAAGGAATGATGGGAGATGTAATGATTTTAAAGAACAGTTCTTTGGACCACAGACCACAAAATCCTACTCCTACACCTGCATTTATGGTTTGTTTGTTTTTTTAAAAAAGAGACTAAGCAAATTCCCATCTCAGATGAATTGGTATCTTGTCAGACTAGTAGGTTAGACGCATGGAACACTGCACATGTTGACAGATGGCCATTTCAGATTGATATTTTCCCTGCTGCAGACCCATATACTGATAACTAAATTTAAAGAAAATGAACAAGAACATTACTGCACATTATGTTTTACTGCATGGGATCTGTGTTGAAGTAACAATGATAATCCACTTGTAATTCAAAATTGCGATACTGAAAAGCACTGAATCGCAGAATGGTCTGCTCCATTTCTGTTGTAATCCATGACTGCTTTACGTACTCTGCAAGCAACAAACTTCAGAAGAAAACTCAGAGGTAATAATGTAATGCTTTTATTGCAAACAAATTGGTTGTCCTGATGTACACTTTGCCCTAACATTCTCCTCATTAAGAATTGCAAAAATGTTATGGTAGCTTTCAGGATCTGTGCCAATCTTTAATGTTATTTGCAAGAGTATAAATTGAAAATAATTACTGCAAAAGTTCAAAGATTCTGGTTTTTCTTCTTTCCACAGCATACAAGCATGTACTGTTTAGAGTGTTTTTAAAAAGTTTTGATTAATGTTTAAAATCTGATAATTACAAATGCCATTTTGCAAAAATGGTAAATATACTTTACTTTTCATTTCCAAGGACAAAATTCAAGTGCAGTACTTTTGTAACATGAAGATTTTGTGATATATAATATTAGCAAAGATTGGCAAATTTCCTTATTGTTTAATATTGATATAATTATAAACTACTCTTATGCTAGAGTTAAAAAAAATGCAGGTCTAACTCTGAGAGCTAACATACTAAGGTATGTTCTCGACTAAATCCAAATACAGATAGTCCTCAATTTAGGACCACAATTGAGCCCAAAACTTCTGCTGCTAAGTGAGACATTTGTTAAATGAATTTTGCTCCATTTTACAATCAATCTTGTCACAGTTGTGAAAGTGAATCACTGTAAGTGTTAATAACATGGTAGTTAAGTGACTCTGGCTTCCTCATTGACTTTGCTTGTCAGAAGGATACAAAAAGTGATCACATGACTCCAGGACACTGCAACCATCGTAAACATGAATCAGTTGCCAAGCATGTAAATTTTGATCACATGAGCATGGGGATGCTGCAACGAAAAATGGTCATGTCACCTTTTTCAGTGATGTTGTAACTTTGAACAGTCACTAAATGAACTGTTGTAAGTCAAGGACTACCTGTATAGTTTGCAGCTTCAAAAGCCAAACAAAACTGAACTGAAAGTAAGGCAGTTGTTGAGGAGTTGGAATCTTCCATAGAGGAAATGCAGCATAGAAAGATTTGAGAGCAGAAAAGTGCAGAAGGAATGTATAACTTGAAGCTGTCGTGTTCTTCACAGTAAATTGCTGTCTTTGGAATCGTTCTTTAAAAATTGGCAGCTGATTACCTGCCTATGTTTAATGTCTATTAAGCTGTATAATATACACACACCCAAACAGTAAGTAACCTTTGTGAACAGTACATGCAGAATGCAAGACAGCAGAGACTGCGGAATTTTTATATACTTCCTTTCAACTATTGTGTGTCAGGTGACATTCCTGCCATTTTAGATATTTAGATGTGGGTACAACAAATATTATAATTAACCATAATATCTTAAGCTTGGGGCTGAATGCTTGTAAATCTGCATTTCAGAATGGAAACAGATGTGATATAAAAACCTAGTGGCTCCCCCTAAGCTATAAACAATGAATCAGATGCTGGGCTTTGGTCTGCCTTTCTCACATTCTTCAAGTGGGTGGTCTATTCCTTTTTATATTAAAAAGAATTCATGAAAAGGGTACAAATAATAATTTTTGAATGGTGGAAACAAGCAGGAAGAGAGGAAACAAGCTGGAAAAACATACAGAATATGGAAAGCTGCTTCATATAAAATCAGACCTCTAGTTCTATATTGTTCTCCACATTGACCTACCATTTGTATCCAAATTGGGGCTGTGGTTGAGCTATGGATCAAAGTCTGTTGGAGATTTTTAGAAACAAACACAATGGTCACTAATTTCTGACCTTCTTCAAGATACAATACCTCATGCATGGCAAGGAGGTCAAGTTTTAGCTACCGGTAGCTAAGTTTTGTGGAATGCCAATTCTCATTCTCTCTCCCTCCCTTCCTCCCTCCCTCCCCCTCCTCTCTCTCATGCTGTCTCTTAAAAAAAAAATTGGAACAAGGCTTCAGATTTCCTGTCCTCTGACCCAGCACTCAACACTTGGATTGAACAGTGTGCATTGCCACGAAAAGTTCAATTCTGATTTCTACCTACTTTCATTTCCCACTCTTATTTCCCTATTTTGATACGGAAAGTTCTGATATCCCATCCCCTAACTGATGCTCAGCATTGTCAGGCCATTAAGCATTCTTGGTCTTTTGGCTTTTGGGGCAATTAGGGGTTTCCTTGACCTATCAGATAACGTTCAGGAACATCACAAAAGAAAGAGGAGTATTGCCCTTCTGCTGTCCAATATTTGAACTACAGTCCTTTGACTAATCCACTGGGCAGCTAGATCTACTTTAGAGGGGGAAAAACAACATGGGTTCCGCTCCAAAATGGCTGTTTGTCCTCGCTTCTAGATTAAATTACATTTACATGCATATTTACTTAGAACTAATAAGAATTTAGACTCATCTATATTTTGTTTAGGCTTTGAGCAATGAAACACCTTTCTCCTATCCTCAAGGCTTAGATTAAAATGTAGCACTGTAAGCAAAATCTTGCGCTGCTGGAGTCAAGATTTAATCATATACCTGGTTGAGGCAACTGGCTTTGCCCTGCGCTCTAAGAATCCCATACATTTGCTAGACTGAAAATAGGACCATTTCTCATCAGTGCTATACAAAAATTGGAGGGTTTGTTGCTTCTATCATTTCTTCCACCGGAATCAACTGAGGGCCCTTGCACTATGCAGTTATCTTGCCTAGGACTCAGGAAGAGTAGACTAAGATTGGGATTGAGTCATAATATAAATAAAGAGATATATCTTGACTTTCTTGGGATTCTGTAAACCTTCATCTTATTTCAACAACTTATAACAAGCCATAGATGGTATTTTTGAACACCAGTGTTGGGAACAAATCCTAAATTCATGTAGATTAGCACAGTTTCTGAAAATTAAGTGAACTCGTGGTATGTCTGTTTCAAAGTCTAGCTTGTAATTTGTATGAATATTGTATATTCGAAAATGCAAGGCAATACATAACTTCAAATGGGATACAAAGGTGAAACATAAATAGGCAGAATAAAAGAAGTAATTTACTAGATAATATTTCATAAGGTTTGGGCTACTCAGAAAATATTAAAAATAAAAATTCATATGTGTTGTTCCACTATGCCATGATTATTATTATTGCTACAATTATAACTACTATTATTACTACCTGTAGTTGTTTTACTAATGTTTACTCCAGTGATACTATATAATTTCACCAAAATTGACTAGGTACTGCCTTACCCAGGTAGCAAATCATCGGTTGAAGGAATTGTATCTAAAGGGAAAAAGGGAAAACAATAACATTGTTAATAAATTCCTTGAAATTAAAATATTTATCCTGGAACTTCATTCCATTTTTGCTTATGTTGTGGAATTCTGATAGATTGTATTTATTTGTGTTATTCAATTCAAATATTTGTTTGTAAAATAATACATTGTGCAATCTTCATTTGGGTGAAGGGATGGTATTTAGAAATATATATCTGTGTATATAAATATGTGAAAAGGAAACCTGTCACAAACACTACATTAGAGAATATTTTATGGCATTAAAAAAAGAGTCAAACACTGAACATTATCATGTGCCACTGTTAAAATGCCACTTTAAGGGGTGGGGATGGGGGTCTTATCATTTAAAATTCTTTTTTAAGAAATATAATTAAAGAATTTATGAGTATTATATGTAAATCTTTTTAACTCTCTAGAAGGCATGACCAAGGAAATCATACAAAACACCAACAGTGTAAATTTTGTACAATATTATGCGTGTATAAATGAAGCTTGCTTGTAGGGTGAGGGGACTTTAAATAAAATCTTATGTACTTACATGCCTGTCTGACATATCTCTGTTTAAAAATCTTTAAAGTATCCAGCATTAATTTTTTTCAAAATTGCTTTCATCACATAGATACATAAAAATCTGATTATTAACCACAATCATTCTTTATTGTTTCTTTGGCCTCAATCCTATATAGAAATGCCAGATTGTTGTTTTTTGTTGAAATATGTATAATATTTTGAACATCTTGTTTTGATAGGCCAACTCTCTTTAAAGATGTTTCTTTGTAAGTGAAAAGCTGGGTTTTTTTAAAAAAAAAATAAACAATACAGTTGTATATTTAATCATTATCGTATGCTTATTAAAAAATGTTGGTGTATGAGAAAAGAGAATGAAAGAGAGGAAAAGATTTAACAGGGCATCTTGTGTTGTATTTTGTTCCAGGTTTCTAAATTCATGACAGCAAAAAAGAAAAAAAAAATAGTGGTATGAGAGGTCAGAGTAGTTAGTGGGAGGGGAAACTAATGAATTCTAGAGAGCTTTTAATGCCATAAATGATTCTGTTAATCTTCAGCATAGATGTTGATCAGTGGAACTGAACTCAGCTCCCTGGACCTTGTCAGATTTATTCTGTGCATGTCGGTGTTCCACACCAATTATAGATTTTAGAAGAGGTTCTCATGCAAAACTCTGCACCCTAATATTTAAGCCAACTTAGATGTCGTTGAAATTAAAATCTAGCTGTGGAAAATCTCTGTGATCCTGATATATGAAAATCCAAATAAATTATTTGTTCACAGAAATGAAAAATAACTTCAGCAGGAAATTTCAGAAATTACTTATGCAGGATTAATCCAGTTCAATGAATGCATCTTGCATTGATTAATAAGCCATCCATGAATTGCAAACTAAAACTACAGAGGTTGTGCTTTCGTGTCTTTTATTGAAACTAAAACAGAGTGCATATTCTACAAAATACACAATCACTTATGTATTTTAATTCTAAAGGATTGTTATGGGTACAACTGCATTATTACCGCATCTGCATGGTTCTGATCAACTATATTGTTAGATTTAATTGTTTTACTTTTGAAAAAAATGAACTTTTGTGCAGCCCAGCCTGGTGACTAACCAGGGCACAACTAAGTTCATGTACTTCCTTTTTGTAGTTTTAAATGTAATGATTTTTCTCTTGTTCCCTCAAACTTCTCATTTCCCATACTTTTTCCAGTGTTGATTTGGGATAAATGATTTTATACCCTGAAATTCCATGTTGTTGTTGCTTCCTAATATTTTATTTATAGTTTTTTCTTTAACATCCATAAGTGCTTAGTGAACAGTGTATTGTTTGGGTCGATATACTTTATACACAATACTAATAATGATGATACTATTTAGAGAACTATTTAGATACACATAATCATAATCTTTCAACTTCCCTTACTTTCTATTAGACAGTTGAGAGATAGACTTTTTTCACTTTCTAAGGGAAAAGCCGTTGACTTTATCCTAAATCCTGACTATCACTACACCTTGGAAGGACCGAAGCTACATCTTACAGAATATAAGAATATTGCTCCCCCCCCCATTCCCAGTGCTATTTCCTAAAAATATAGCATCGAATAGAATCTTCTACTGACTTCATACAGACTGAAATTTAAGACTTTGCTTTCCAAGCATTACAGCCTTCATCTTTAAATAGTAACATCATAGTAAATGAAAGATTTTTAGAGTGGCCAAATTATTTAGTTGAGGACATGAATGCCAACATTTTGCTCCCAATGAAGTCGATTAGAAGGCCCTCATTGAGCTATTGGTCGTAGCTGAGCACTGTTAACATGAAAGAAGAGAAGCTTTGTGGATACATTTTATAGGGATTTGATTCATATTGATTAAATTATGCTCCAGGTCCAATGAAACTTTATAAAGGAAGATGGGCTGCTCAATATTTATAAGCCCTGAGTATTGCTTACAGATTTAGGTAATTGACTTCCTCCTATATCCATTTGTACCACTTGTAAGACATTAGGACTAAAGAACATTTGAGAACAGGACATTTTATGGGAATTGAGAATTTTTGTCCACATTTTACCACCATTTTGTCTTTTACTAAGCACTGTCCCTGAAGAAATGTAAATTCTAAGTAGTTAACAGGAAAAATTTAGAGGAGCAAATTAATTCCTTAGAATTTCCCAGAAATAAGATGGTCAGTCTTTAGAGTAGTTTTTATTCTATATATATTAAAATAAAAATCATGGGAAGATGAATTTCTAATAGAATAGATTTTAAAATAGATATAAGCCCTGCAACAGGGTTTGGGTACAAGATATTGGAACTACCACAGTCAAAATCCTGGAACTCTGTATCTGACAATAATGATCTATTAGACTTGATGCTTGCTTGCTAATTCCATAATCCAGGTGACAGGTTTTGAGTACCACTTGCTAGTAAGCAACATTGAAGGACTGATACCACCTTCCTGACCATGTTTGTGTAGCCCTGAAATACATGAGTGGCCATTGTGGGACAGAATGGTGGGTGAGCTGAGTTGTGGACCTGATACAGCAAAATTCTTATTTTGTTCCAGCAGTTGAGCTCTACCAATATTAGGCACATCACATCAGAGACTGTCCTAGGACTCAACAACTTTGATACATGCAAGTTTGCAGCTTTTGGAAACTGATGTTGGTTCATATGTTATAGCTAACACAGGTGGAGGATGACTAGAAACATATGTACCTCTAGGACCAGGCATACATCCTACGTATGGAAGAACATACCCAAGAAAATGAACTTTTATAAAATATGTACATAGATGGTCATAAAAAATATTGTAGAAGGAGAGCAATGTAGGGTGGCCAAAAATCAGGATTAGTGAGAAATATTATCAGACTCATATGTTTTCATGGCTTTGCTTAGAGCAGGGGTGTCAAACTTGCATCATTATGGTGTCATCATGTGATGTATCATGACTTTTGCCCCTTCACTAAACCAGGTGTGGGGATGGCCAGCGTGTGACATATCTGGCCCATCGGCCATGAGTTTGACAGCCCTGGCCTAGAGCAATATCCAATATCATAGCAATATCATGATGGCGAACCTATGGCTTGCATGCATGCCAGAGTTGGCACACAGAGTCCTCTCTGTGGGCGCGTGTGCCATCACCAGCTGCTCTTCTGGTTTCTGGCATGCCAGTTGGTCTTCACGGGTGCCAGAGTGCTGAAAAACAGCCTGAAAACAACCCAAAAAAAGGTCCGAAAACGGACCAAAGAACAGGCATGTGTGCGCCAGCCAGCTGGTCTTCGGGTTTCTGGCGGTCCGGCATGCACACATGCACACACATGCACATGTGTTCCGGTTTGGGCACTTGGTGCTGAAAAGGTTCACCATCACTGTCTTAGGTCATTTTCTTAATAAATCTGCTTTAATAAAATTTTACTGCATAACTTGCTGAAAAGATATAAATGGTTTCTGAAAGAATATAGTCCTCCTCGAGTCAACCTCAACTCTGAATAATAATGTTTTTGGCATTGGTGTAGAAGTGATTTGCCACTGCTTCCCTTCCGAATGGTTTTCAACTTCAGTCTAGTCTACCACCTTGGGAGTTCAGGTCTCCTATCCCAGTGCGAACTAAGCCTGACTCCTAGATCAAATAGATGCTGCCATCTGCTGTGATCATTTTAGAATATTTTCTAGTAATTCATTCAGGCACATTCACCAATAAGCCTTATCCCTACGACAATTACAAGAGACAAAACCCCAGTAAGTGGCCTATATCTTCTCATATTCTTTTGTGGCCTGTTGTTACTAACCTCTCTCTTGTCATTAATTTCACTAATGGAACTCTATTAACTGCATCTTCTTGATTGCCTTGTATAATATGCTTGCTGAAAAGCAGTTTCTTGGCACAGTCCAAAAGGGTTAAAGCATTCTCATAGTAAGAATGCAGTCTGAAATGTTCTCTTCCCTGAAATTCATAAGCCACCTATTAACCTTTTCTAGGCAGTTGCTCAATTCTTTGTCTAGGCTTTTCCTAGATAAATGGTTGCATGAACAGTTTTGATTTTATTTTTCTTTCCCCATGTATGAGGGTTGAAGCAAAATATGAAGAGAATCAGAGATCAAACACTGCAAATTCTCTTGCAGAGAAACAGGTAATAAAGAGTTCATTACTATGTAAGATGGAAGAAAGACACATGGTTTAATTGGCAGCTGATCTAGAAGTATTCTTAGGAGTTCAGATTTTCATGAATAGAAAGGCTTCTTTTGCATCTAGGGTAAAAGCAGCTGATTGCTCTGAGACACGTCTGAATCATATACTGAGACACTCAGGAGGCAAAGAGGAATCTTTATGTTTCTAGAGAAATATATTGCCTGTCCAGTGACACTTGGATACTACCTCTCTAAATAAACTTGTCAGTTTCACCACATTTAAACTTGTTGGGTTTAATTTATTTTATTTTATTTTAATTTTTATTTGATTTGATTTTTATACCGCCCTTCTCCAACAGGACTCAGGGCGGTGAACAGCTGAGATAAAACATAACATATAAAATTTAAAAAATAGTTTAAAAGACATTAAATAATTTCAGCCCTCAATTTAAAACAACCCAGTTAAAACCAATTTCAAATTAAAACCAAAAGGATGGGATCAAGCCAGCCTGGCTAGATGAAATAGATGTGTTTTCAGGGCCCGACGAAAAGTCTGGAGGTCTGGTATCATGCGTATCTCTGGGGGTAGGTCGTTCCAGAGGGCAGGTGCCACCACAGAGAAGGCTCTCCCCCTGGGGGTCGCCAGCCGACATTGTCTGGCCGACGGCACCCTGAGGAGGCCCTCTCTGTGTGAGTGAACTGGCCGGTGGGAGGCTATTGGCGGCAGAAGGCGGTCTTGTAGATACCCCGGCCCTAAGCCATGGAGCGCTTTAAAGGTGGTCACCAACACCTTGAAGCACACCCGGAAGACCACCGGAAGCCAGTGCAGCTCGTGCAGGAGAGGTGTCACATGGGAGCGCCCCGTCTCTCCCATAATCCCCCGCGCAGCCGCATT